TAAGAAGACCATGGCCAAGCAAGGACCAAAAAGGATTTATAGCTCTCAATATTTTTGTGCTTGTGTTTTTTGAGGTTCTGTAGCACTTTCAAGTTAAGCATTGTGATATGTAGAAAGGTCAATTTTCTATGTATATGAGTTAGGACTTCTTTGTATTGTACAAGTTACAAAATATCTAATTGGGGTTGTGGGAGTAATGATGCACTTTGTCTTAGTAGTTGAACTAAAGTTATATACCAATTACGCATAGAAATTGAAACAAAATTGTAGGGTGTGACATGTGATATGTGTATTTTTATTGTAGGAACCTTGTAATAATAAGTTAAAGTCTCTTTGAATAAAATTTTTTATTTGTTAATAAAAAATCAATATTTGTAATCCCATTATAAAACTAAATTATTATTAAATTTTCTTTGTTACCAAAAATTTATCTTTTAAATATTATTTTGAAAATATTTTTCTTACTAAAATTGGTATAATCATTTTTTGAAATTAAACTTGTGATCAATATTTTTTTGGATATTGATTAAAATTCAACCCCATATCTTTCAATGACAAAATTTATTATCATAGATATATGTTGTTATCCTTTTCTATTTAGATAATTGGTGACAACTTTTTTGTCATAAATGCTTTAGTGTATTAGTGAAAATAAGATCCATCACAAATGTATATTGTAATTATAAAAATACCATTTTTGGTTTAATATCAGTTTAAATAAATTGATGATCAAACATTTTGTTACAAATACTTAATTGCATTAGTGATGTTTTCTTCATCACTTAGCTGTAGCCTTTGTAACAAAAATTTCTGTCTCAATTAGTATTTTTTGTGATGAATAAAATTATTATAAATAATTTATTAGCAATGTTAATTTTTTTCATTATTATAAAATTTATATATATATAACAGATGTTAAATTTGTCATTAAAAATATTAGTAACAAAAGTTTTACTAATGATATAAATTTCATTATTAATTTTAACTTGCGATGGAAAATAAGAATTTAATGATAAATAAATTAGCTATTGAATGTGGATTAGCAAAGAATCATGAGATTGGCTGTGAAAGGTGAGACAAATCTCGCAGCAATGGTGCCAATCCTACTCAATAGAAACCATGAGAAATCTCTAGAAAAGGATGATGATAGACTTGGTTGCATGCAGGAAGGGTGAGAACATTTTTTTGGGAAGCAACAGACCAACAACGCTGCGATGCGAATGGTCGATGAAGATGGTGAAGGGAAAGGGAGTAAAAGTTAAAAAGGTTAAAGAAGGGTAATGGTTGTTTTGATGTTATCAAACTACTCAAATTAAAAATCATGAGTTTTTATAAAATAAATATATTTCATTGTAGTTGCCTAATTGGCTCCAATA